CTGCGCCATATGTGTCGGTTATTCGGTTCAGCACTTGTCAGCCCGCAACTGTTGAGCGTGCTGAAAGCGTGCTAATACACACGTTGGCGGTAAACCACCTTGTTTGCTAGCACCCCATACCCCGATGATGGAAACGGCAGAGCTGCTTACTTCATTTAAACGAGGCATGCGTTTTCCACTGGGTATTGAGGCAACTCTCACCTTCTCTTGTGCTGGGCAATGACATAACTCACAATTACCCAGAAACGGCAAACTTCTGAAAGCATAGCAGTTGCTATGGGAAGGGAGTGGTTTTTCTTCGTCCGCTTTCAACCGTATGTATCGGCGAATCCACTTAACAAAATACACCTTGGACAAAGAATGGTACGAAGAGACTCTATAAGGGAAGTATTATCTGTGTTATCTATAATCTTATCTAAACTGCAACCAAGTAGAATGACCAATATGAAGCACCAGAACAGATTACAAGTGAATGAACATCGTGGTATAGTATAAAAGTGAATAAAATGACTACACCGCAATAGAGCAGGACAAGTCCCAGTAGACGAGGAGTCGATTAGAGCCGTAAAGCGGAGAGCCAAAAAACGGGGTAGTGGGAATGGCCGGGTATTCACACCCCAGTTCGCTCGATTCGGTTTGGAGGGATTTGGGGTGCCATGAAATCGGAGCAGGTGTGATATCATCATCAATACGGTGCTATACGAGAAGAAGACTACATGATCAATACTAGACGGGAAAAGGATGAATGAGTCACATAGCAGCCGCCATGTCCAAATGAAGTGTGCCGCCATGCCCTCCCGATCCCGGTATCTGGGCTATTTGGGCTTCATTTGTATGCTTGGACTTTAGAGACTTTACTACAGATATCATGGCTCTAGTGTGAAAATGATACACTCAAAATCTAATCTGATGGACGAACATTCTTAATTGATGAGCCTTTCCCGTTGCAGCAGCGCTCCTCTTTATGCATCAGAAGGGAAAGGACGCCTTTGAGGAAAAGACTTTGCTTACAAGTCTCCACCCATTTCCTCGCCCATGCGATTATCATGGACTGTTACTTCGAATGCACTTGCCAAAGTGGTTCAAAGCTCACCTTGTGATATTGACAATGGTAACGCAATACATGGTGTCCGAAAGGTGAATGTTGTTAAGAAATCGAGTACAGCTGAAAAACAACGGTGACATTAATAGTAACAGTAATAAGAAACACAATAATCGCAGCGAAAACAAAATAGATCAGAAGCTAAAAGAAACGAGATAGCTGCCAAACCCACTTTGCTGCGCAGTCCATGGCAAACTCTTTGTAAGGCTCCGCTAGCGTCTTCCAGTCACCTTTTTCAAAATCTCTTAGGACCTTAATGAGTACCGAATATTATGAGGCAGTGTTTATGGTTCGCGATTCGAGCTCGACTGTGCCTGACCACGGTCCACCGCCAATCGTTGGACCGCTGCAACTGCTGACTTAATTTCGGTCTAGTTAGAACATGCTTTCAAAATTTCTGCGGTTCAACGACTAGCAGTGAAGCGAGATAAGCCGGAGTTGAGGCGACTGAATCGCACGAGTCATGAAGTATGAATGCGGCGATAGAGCTCCCGAAACTAAAGCGCACTTCCTTCGTCTGGGCAAGTTGTTAATTTCGTTGGCATCGATCTAATCATACCTTTGGCGTGGGTAACACCCTGCTCTCCAGTTCTTCGACAATAGATTGCGATCTAGACAGCTGACGTTTCACTTTACCCTTTTCTTCGACATCCTTTACTGGCGGATTTGAGATGCTCTTACCTGAAAGTACCGAACTCCTTCCTCAGTTTGTTTGGTAATATTGCAGCACTAGTAACCTAGGGAAAAGTGGAGAACCATTGAAAGGACTCCTTTTGCAGGGCTAGAATGACCGCTCAGGAGATGAGGATTCTTATTTCAGCCCAAAGGGAATGGAGTTTTAGGGTGAATCAAGAAAAACTCCGTTGCTGCACACACATGATGTTAATCCCAATTCTGCTTGGGGTCCATCAAATGCTTCTCTCAAAGGGTTCTGAACGCCAACATTTACTTCTTTGAGTCACCCCCCTCTAAACTACTTAGATAAGAAAAGTGTAGTAAGAAATCTAACAATCAAAATACTATGTAAAATTTTACTCAAATTTTACTAAAATCTCATTATTTACTCATTTTGACTGTTCTTTTGGAAAGTCCTGATCTCTCAACATTGGAGGATTTCCCCTTAGAGCTAGCTTCGGTTCTCGATCACTTTTATTTGTTAAAAGGAAGAAGCTCCACAAGGTTGGAAAAAAATGAGTAGGTAATAATGGGGGTGATAATGTAATCGGTAAGCCATAAAAAATAAACAACAAGCAACCTGCGATAGGCTTGTTCTCTTTTGAAGAGCCTTCCTCGTCGACCGATTCGAGTCTCGGTGGTGGGACTCTGGAAGAAGTTACTTGTGTTAGTGGGACAAAGTGAACAATTTCGAATGGCAATTCAAAGCTAACCGTATTCTCCTTCCCGAGGACCATGGTCCTTGTCGTATTTGGGGTGAATGGGTCTGCAGCAATCGCGTGCAACGTCCTACGCTCAGAAGCGCACTGGAGCGGGGCTGGAAGGTGGTGCTACCTGAATACCGTCTCCATACTCCGCTTCGCGCGGCCACACAGCCAGCCAGGCACCTAGCCACAGCCAAATGCGCTACTTCTGCCCCTCCCACTTCTGCTTGTTCTCTACCGCTATGTACCCGTTTCGTTGTGGACCCTTACATCGAAGCAGGGGCTGTACCTTGAGGATAGCGCGGACAGAGTATGAAGACGACACCCGAGTATTGCTAGCCTTCAGCCCGTGCCCTCGGAGAAAGCGGCACACACTGCAGCCGGGCACACGTTCCCCTCTAACATGGCAGGGAACGTCCTCGGAGGTGAGTGTACAGGTTACATTCGAAGATAATGGTCACTCACTTTTTTGCTTGCACCTCCTTTGTCGGCACTTTCGTCGTAATGTCGATCACTTCATGAATGTGCAGCATGCCACCCTCCTTTTTAAGTGCTTTACAGGCGGTGAGCCAATGAGCTCGACATGAAGGCACCAAACCCAAAAAGACTCGGTCGGCAACCAAACATGGTGTGACCTGGAAAAATTTCATAATTGGTGAGGTGTTCGAACGATCACCTCAAGCGAAATTGCTATAAGGCGAAGTGGTGCCGCTTATGGCACCCAATGACGTGTCCCGAATCCTCAAACATTCTCGTGCCCGAGCCAGTGAAAGTTTATGCACCCTTCGGGATCGTTTAATTGGTATTAGCCTGGTCTGAGAGAATAACAACCCGACTTCTAGAGCAGATTTCCCAGCTATTTACTGTCTGAATAAACGCTTCCAACAATCACTACTGCCATATTGAGTCGGTATTGGGTGTGCGGTGCAGCCCAAAAAGGCAAACCTGAAGGCTCGAAGATTCATTTTCCTCCTATTTTGTCGCATATGAAAATGAAGTTTGCATCCCTCAGTCCATATCGGGGAGCGTTAGGGGCGGCTCTAGATAAGCATGTTCTCGTGCCGACTCTCTTACATGTGCGCCCACGCCCACTTCCCTCTAGACCCTCGGATCTCGCACCAACGTACATGAAAACGCCCTTTGATTTTGTATGTCACAAGGTGATTACCTTTTTATTAATAAATTTTAAAGCGTTTCTCACCCTTCTACTGTCCCCTTCGATGACAAGTATTCTATCCTGGACATCGTTGGCCTCAGCGGTCCTTCTTAGCGCTTCACACATATCGTCTGACCAATCAATGCTGACCACTTGCTTTGCTCCACAACACACAAGGAATCGTAAGGAGTAATAACCAAGGCCTGAAATGATTTTATTTATCCAAACATAAGAAGTTAGATGCAGTCAACCTTGGAGGGCAACGTCAACTCCGAGCTCGAAAAAGATGGGTGTGGGAGTTATGGAGTGTTGCGTTATGGCACAGGTCTAGGGGGGGTCTGGAAATTCAAAATTTATCTCCAGGACGAGAATTCCCGAATTCATTTTGTATATGCCAGGTACGGCCCGAGTTAACCCCGGCATAGTGATAGGTTCAACAGAAGAAGACCTGCGCTGCTACCATTCCGGAAAATCGTACAGCAGACTGCGAAGCAGATTTGACGCCCCTCCCACGCCAAAACGCTCGTAAAGCATTGACCTAATCATGTTACCTCTCTATGCTGCTCCGTTTTCATATTGTGAAACGGAATAGAGTAGACACTCTTGCGTAAACCATTCTAAAACTTTTCCCACTTTGAGGCGGAGGTGGTGTAGTGACAAGTGGCGCGCTTACCACTCGCGCGGTCCTGGGTTCGAATCCCAGGTCGACACCCGCCCAGGCCAACCAAGCCTTCTACCCTCCGGGGACGGTAAATTGGTACCAGATTCGTCTGGGAGGATAAAACACTGACTTGTACATCGGCTGGCCCCCGCAAGTCATTGTATAGGCCACATCGCATTCAATAAGCCACTACGATTCTGAATGGAAGTAGAATGCGTGCCGCATCCCACAAAGGGATTGATTAACGGCGAAGACTTTATCCTTTATCCCCACTTTAGACGGTATAAGGAGTGTATGCAACATATAGATAGCAAATTCAACTTCTCACCCGCATACATATCCACAACAGTTTGTCCATGACAATCCCACTCGGATATACGTTGCATTTCTGGGAGCTTTTTGTTGTTGAATACTCTCTTAGAAGCATCATAGATAAACCTAAAGAAACACAAATTTACAGCTCATGGCCAGAAAAATTTTCGGATCTGTTATACTAAGGCAACGGGTTTGTGGAGATCTGGAAAATCCTTTCAAAGTGGCTCACTCACGCCATTTGGTAACTTCACAGGAGTTGACAGGTCTCATCAAAAGGTAACCTAAATAACAGAGACGGGCAAAAGAGACTAGCGAAAGTTCAAAGTGTCCCTCCCGAGCCCAACAGCGCCGATTTCTTTCTAGTTACGGTAATAACTAGGAATGGCAGGGCTTAAAAGGCGACTAGAGACGTTTTCCGCGATAACCGATGGGTGTCACTCACGAGGACTCTGCCTTGTTAGATGACGCTCCCATTGTTCTACTACAGTAAGGATAAAGGGTGTATCAATGAAGAAGGAGCCGGTGATTGAGATTCTTTGCCCTTATCCTCTGGTCAAATTATCGAGAAATCTGTCTCCAAAAGGGAGTGCTTGTCATGCTTTGTGAAAGGTAATGCCCTAATGAATAATGGGTAGCAAGTGACAGCTTGATATCCAAGTTCCCATCTCAACTACTTATGGTTTATCCAATTCAATTCACAGTTCACTACTTTCACAGTTCACAGATCTCACCACAGAGTAACCTGTCAAGGGGTTTCGGGCCGAACAGCGCCCAGTTCCTGTCTAGTTACGATAATATTGAGAAGCC